ATCACTCGAAACGGCGAGATAAAGAGGCTAGAGACGCGTGATTATTGCAACCATTGCAACCACGATTACTTTCACTCTGCAAGACAACGGCTTACAAGCGGAATGCGTGTGTACATAGCGTTGCCTGGAGCGTCGTAGGGTGATTTCCTGTGCTCTTGCCGGGAATGGTTGCACGTCGAATCCTGCTGATTGGGCTTGCCGACGTGCAGCAAACTTGTCCAAGGCGTCCGTCCAAGGCCCCCAAATGTCTTTAGTCCCAACAACGCAAAATTTTGAAGTCTCCCAGTGATGCCCAGGTTCGTCGTTGATTTAGTGCTCAATAGCCTGAATGACCGTGGAAAAAGTTTATGGATTCCTCTGGTAATCGGCAGTTGTTAGCGCTAGTCAGATACGACGCTTCTTGTCAATATTGCAATACTTACACTCCATATCCCAAAGATGGGGTGGGCGTGGCCGCATAACTGGATTGAACCTGACGGCGGCCAAGGTTTTCGTGGGATTTTTTCATTCTGGGATAGCTGTAATCATGTCCTTGTCCAACAAGAACAAGGTAACAGTTGTCTCAAACTGAAATATCCCACAAGCAACCCATCCCATGCCATGTTCAAATGCCACGCCAACTCCGTCCCAGGGATAAGGAATGTAGATCAGTTTTGCATTGCGGGAACAATGGGTGGCTCATTTGGGTACGCCAAGGGTGTACAGTCCTCATCATTGCGGACCGAGTGTTCAGCCAGTAGAGTGTTCGCCACACATGTGTGAAGGCCCGTTCTCAGCCTTTTCTATTGAAACACGTATGCACAAAAAGTGGTGAAAAACCGAGTAAATAGAATAAACAGTGATGTCAGTTTGCCGCGCTTACAACAGAACTGTGCAGGACAGACTTTGGCACCAGCCAAACGCAGATCGCACTGACACGCCCATCCACCGGTCCGCAATGATGAGGACTGTAGCTAATCAGTAATGACTACAGAAAGCGAGGCGCTGTTTATCGACGGGGGCATTTTGTACTATCACTGCTTCCCTTATTCCGGCTTGCAAATCTCACTTTGTTAGAAACTTGTGAACTCTTGTAAAGCTGGAGCAGGATCGTCTAGCCACCATCCCAAAACGTGTCAACTCGAGAAAACGCTACCTAGATGGGTCGACACATCTATGGAAAGCAAATGCCCCCCCCGTCGATAAACTGCGCCGAAAGCGAAAATGTACTCCTCTCTGTTTTCATAGCACGAGTTCTCAACTACTGCTCACCTGATGGGGTTTCTGAGTCCTACAGTATTCGTCGAGAGACGCTTGTATCTTCTCCTGAGCTGTTTCCACTTTTAATGGCTCATTCAGTGACGGAATATCTGAAATAGAGAGTGAACCCTTTCAATGGGACGATTGAAGCCATCTCTCTGTCTTTGTCTAGTTTTTGCCAGCAGTCGGACAAGGCTAGTTGTCCGGAATTTATCTCGAATTGGATCGCTAGGTCTCTCATAATGGATGGGGTGCAAGTGTATGGCACGATGCAAATCGCCGATTACGCCCCTCCTCCATTGACGGGCGCTTCGCAACTCCTCAAGCCGGGTTACGGTAGCTCGCGAGCGAGGCTTTCACCCTTCCGCCTGAGGGTTCCGTCATTATTGATAGTGCCAGAAGGAGCTTTTGAAGTTATTGAGCAACTACCATACATGAGAGGGAAAGCCTCCAACAGTACGAGCCCCACATTCCGGGGAGTAACGTAGTACACAGGCTCGCTGGTGTCAACAGCAGCGCCCCGACTTTCAGGAGAATGCGCTAAATGGGTTCTTTTAAGGGCATCGCTGTTCGCTTCATAAATGGGTTAGCAGTAACAGAACCAGCCATATAATAGTTTTGACGTCACTGCAGTTAAAGAATGTGTACATCCTACTGAGGGTCCGATATGTTTGCAGAGGAGCCTGTATTTCCAGAAATGAGCAACGAAATCTCTAAGCTGACCCTTTAACTTTGAGATTTGAGCTAAAATGGACACCAAAAGATTGTGAGGCTGGAACTGATGACGAAACTTGTGGTAATCCGATCTTGAAAGCCGATCAGAGTAATGGGCGTGGGTAAATAGGGCGCTGATAGACAAAAGTCCTACCTGGATTGAAAAGCA